AAAAAATAATCGGAAACACAAAAACCGAAAAGATTCTAAAAGTTCATAAAATGAACTAGGATCAGGAAAAACTAGAAAGGAAGCTTACACTCGCCCGCATATCTCTGCGTACACCCCAAAAAAATTTCAAAATCGAACTTTAAACCCTAGCTGTTCGGCCATTTATGCAGATATTCAACCCATTCTTTTTTTAAACAAAATTATAATTTATTGTCTTCATTGACGTACAGCGGTTTTCAACTTCGTGGATTGCAGGATTGTGCGATAACCGTTAATTTTGTCGTCGCCGATATACTTTAGAATGTCTAAAAATAAATTTTACTCTGTTAAAATGAAACTCTGTCATTACAATAACGAGCATATTGCAAGATGGAGCAAAAAGGCAAGGAAATTTCTTTTGGAAAGCGGAAAATTATACTAAAAGGTTTTTTGGATGGAAAATCTTATAAAGAAATTGGTGCTTTAGTTGGTAGAACCCACTCATCCATCCAAAGAGTGATAAATAATTACAACTCGACTGGAAGTATCCTGCCAAAGACTCGTTCTGGCCGACCGCCTTTGCTTACAATCCGCGAGCAGAGGAATATTGTCAAATCTATCCAGCTCAACCCAAGGACGACAGCTCATCAGGCAAAGCTACAGGTCGAGGATAGTTTGTCCAAAACAGTTTCCGAGGATACTGTACGCCGGGTCATAAAAAGGCTGGCTACCACAGCAGAGTCGCCAAGGTTATTTTTTCCGACGAAAGTAAATTCTGCATATTTGGAATCAAGACAAAGGTTTTAGTATGTAGGAAAAGCGGAGAAGCCTTTAATAAAGAAAATTTGGTTGGCACAGTAAAGCACGAAGGAAGCGGAATTATGGTGTGGGGGTGTATGGCAGCAAGTGGCGTTGGAAAGTTAGTATTTATCGAGTCAATAATGGATCAAAAAATCTATATTGACATTTTAAAAAACAATTTAAAAGAAAGTGCTGAGAAATTAGGGCTCGAAAGTGAATACTGGTTCCAACAAGACAACGACCCGAAGCACACGGCACAGAATACCAAGCTTTGGCTGCTGTATAATGTCAAAAATCAGCTGCGAACCCCTCCCCAGAGTCCTGATCTAAACCCCATTGAGCATTTGTGGGATCTTCTTGAGAGGAAAATCCGAAAACACACGATTACATAAAAAAAAAAATGCTCAAGGATGTGATTCTGGAGGAGTGGGGAAAAATTACTGCAGATGAAACCAAAAACCTAGTGGATTCCATGCCGAGACGCCTCATGGAAGTTTTGCAGCGGAGAGGATACCCTACCAGTTATTAAAAATAATATTATTTACGTTTAAGGGGCACAACTAGTGTGAAGTTTTAAAAAAATCAAAAAAAATTTTCTTCATATTTCGGTAGATTACACCTTTAAAAATAACATATTAAAATTTAAAATCGATATCTCAAATAGTTTTTGAGTTATAACAATTTAAAGAGCAGCCGCTCTCAGAACAGTGCAAACGATCATTGTATCTTTAAACGCGTTTTTCTCGAAACAGCATTTTCCAAATTTGCTGCAGTGATAACTCAAAAACTAGTGATCCGATCACTACCAAATTATATAGTTCTACGTACCATGAACTATCGGTTTTTTGATCCGATCAAAAATCGAATTTTGGCAGGCCAAAAACGACCAAAATTTTGGTTAAAATTCGATTTTTTTTTTAAACGCTGCCATTTTGTCATTATACCCTTGCAGAGCAAAAGGGTATTATAATTTCAGTCAGAAGTTTGCAACGCAGTGAAGGAGACACCTTAGACCCCATAAAGTATATATATTCTTGATCAGCATCACGAGTAGAATCGGAATATGTCTGTCCGTCGGTCCGTCTGTCCGTCAGTCTGTTTCAGCTCCAACACAAGAGAATGAAATAAAAAAAATCTTACGCCGTTGTTTTTTATCAGATCGACTTGATTTCTATCATATGGCATTTTCTAACTACAGTCGACTCTCGTTAATTCGAAACTCGAGGGACTCTTGAAATATTTCGAATTATCGAGTGTTTGAAATATGAAATGGATCGAAATTTGCGAGAGAAAATAAATAACCTTCGAATTATTAAGTATTGGTTAATTTGTATTTATTAATATACAAATGATAAGAATTAAGAGGTACATTCGTGTACGTACATGTATTCGTAATGTGAATTAATTAATTAATCTTTCGAAAGAACTTTGTTATACTGGCTTGCTTTAAGGGGACGTTCTCTTTGTTTTGGTCGAAATGAAGGCAAAGTTCGTCAATTTTTTGTGGGATAATGAAAAGTCGTACGAACTTCGGGTTTTGCTTTTTGAATTCGTTTATTATTCAAAATTTTTTTAAAATTTATTTGATGGTGAAATTCAAAATGGCGGCTGCAAAATGGCGGATTTCATCTGCCTCCGCGCGGCAAACATCGTCCCAAAATTACGAGCCTGCAGCCTCTTGTAGTCAACAGAAATAGAAAATTGTTACCATTATGTAAAGTTAATATACTTGTGCGAGGCACTAACCTAGTGGCATCAAATTGCGGCCATAAATTGACCGCGTAATGAACGTTCGAAGTTTAAAGTTCGATTTTCGTACATTTTTTTTCAGTTAAACCACGTTGAAAAATTATAAATAAATTATTGTTTTTTTCCGGAGTAGGTTAGTGCCCTAAAGAAAAGAATATACTTTCATAAAAATTTTACATGAAGCAAATCGGTTCACAGGATGAAGCTGTGGACGCGTAATTTTGTTGAAAAACATGGTTTCGAGAAAAACGCGTTTAAAGTTTTTAGAGCATACCACAGCGCGCGTGACGCAGGTGTATTCGAGACGCTCTCATTCACAAACTATTCATCGTATCGAAAAATCCTTTCACACACATATTCTACGGATATGTGGCTTTCAATTTTTGCAAAAAAAAAATCGATTTTTTGATCCAAAAAAAAAAAAAAAAGAGAACGTCCCCTTAAAGCACAATTCTGCTGCTCACACTGCCGCATTAATTTTTTTAAGAGAAAAAGTGCCTGAAATACTTTTTCATCACTTTCGTTTTGTAGACATAAGCTTTGTAAGGTATCAAATGAGGATCTTGCTTCCTTAACTGACACCTCTGCCAAAGGTTCTTTATACTTTCTAGGGCTCATAGCTAACACTAACTTTTAATATGCATACCAACGAAAGAGTAACATGACTGAATAACTACACAAACCAATTCGTAAGAAGTGTGTGCGTCAAAAACTACATAATCAAAACAAAAACAAAGGCAAGTTTGAACTTGTCGCAAAATTTTTTTCTCTGCAACTTTGAATTGTCGAGTGTGAGACGCTGATAAGTTCGAATTAACGCGTGGTTTTGTTAAATATCAATGATTTTTTCGTTCGAATTACCAAGTGTATGAAAATGTATTGATTTAGTTCGAAATATAAAGAGATTTCGTAGGGACCTCGTGATAACTTTGAATTATAGAGAGGTTCGAATTATCGCAGGTTTGAATTAACAAGAGTCGACTGTACTAGTAAATTTTATCAAAATCGAACAACTCTATCATATAGCTGCCATAGGAAAGATCGAAAAATATATATATAAATTATTGGAAATAAATTGATAACATCTTTTTTTTTTTTTTAATATCAAGTTTTTTAACAACCCTAATATTGAGAAAAAGTTTCATGAAAATCGGACAGCTATATCTTATAGCTACTATAGGAAAGATCGAAAAATCTATATAGAAATAACGGAAATATAATGATAACATCATTGTTTTTTATTAGATAAGCATGATTTTTGGAGTATAAAGTTTTCTAACAACTCTTGAATTACTAATTAAATTTGATGAAAATCGGACATATCAATCATACAGCTCCCATATGATCTATAGTCGAAAATATTGAAAATGAATAGAAAAATCGTCTTAGCTTCGATGTTGTTTAGCCTTTATGCATTTTGTTCGATATATTTGATGACTGCAAGGGTATATAAGCTTCGGCTTGCCGAAGCTAGCTTCCTTTCTTGTTTTTTGATATTTTTTTTTATCGTAGTTCATGGTATGGAAAATATTATCTAGTTTAACGAGAATTTTTCATTTTTTGATTTCGTCCACGGAGAGGGCCGGAATCACTGCAGCAGTAAAGGCACTTTTTTTTTAGCGCCGTTGGAGATCGACTATAACTTTAAAAATATTAAACTTTTTTCTTTAAAAATTTCACTATACATTCTTAAAACATGTATAAATATATTCTGAAAATTTGAAAAGAATTGATCAAGTAGTTTTTTTTATAAAAACTCCCAAAAATCACCATGTTTTTAGGCCGTCACATTAGTTGTGCCCCTTAAAATAGGTGTACGCAGACTTTTGCGGTTACATTTTTTGGTAGAGTTAAGTTTAAAATTAAAAATAAAATATAAGACTCTGTTGAATAATTTAAAAAAAATACGTCAGACAATAAATTATAATTTTGTTTAAAAAAAGAATGGGTTGAATATCTGCATAAATGGCCGAACAGCTAGGGTTTAAAGTTAGATTTTGAAATTTTTTTGGGGTGTACGCAGAGATATGCGGGCGAGTGTATATACCCTTGCAGTCATCAAATATGTCGAACAAAATACATAAAGGCCACACAACATCAAAGCTATGACGTTTTTTCGATTAATTTTTATTATACCCTTGCAGAGCAAAGGGTATTATAATTTGAGTCAGAAGTTTGCAAGCCCGAATGCATTTTTCTTTACATTTGCAATATATGCTAGGGTATATAAGCTTCGGGTCGTTCAAGCTAGTTTCCTTTCTTGTTTGGATGTAGAGTTTTCGAACGAATCTTGAATTTCAAATGAAATTTTATAAAAATCGGACGAAAAGTCTTCATAGCTTCAACGTTTTATTTAGCCTTATTGCATTTTGCTCGATATTTGCGATGACTAAAATGTTCGTCTACCCGGTACTTTATAACTTAATTTCAGAATAATAATACATTAATTAATTTTAAAATCTATATTTCAGTATCCCGCCTCATGAGCTCGTCAGCCAGTGGGACAATGACCCATATGGGAAATATGGGTGGACTGGCAGCTTGCAGCGTAAGCGATACAAAACCGCTACAGTTTCCTTTGGCACAAAGGAGAAAACGAAGAGTTTTGTTTACGCAAGCTCAGGTTGGTATGACAAATTTCTATTCTGTTACGATTAACATAGTCATTGCATATTACTTGTTAATGAGATTATGTAAATATAAACATATGTAAATTTTTTTTGAGTGTTCAAAAAGTATAATGACTTTTCCTATTTCTTTGGCAACTTATATTCGATTATCGATTTTATTGTTTGGTTATGTTTGTACACTCTTTTCAAAGATATGTACATATGTATCTAATATCAACTGAATGGCATTTTTAATTTGGTTGTTACAAGTGATTCGCATGCTCGGAAGAGCCAAGACCTCAAAAAGCACGCCAAGTTCGAACAAATTTTAAAGTTTGGCTCACTGTTATCTTTGTTTCGATATTATAACCATATACCCATGATTTGACACCAGCTTTGACTCTTTTGAGTAACTCTGGGTGGCTTCATTTAACAGCTATTGACGATGCTCATCCGACGGTTTTGGTCAAAATTTTGCAAAAATTCATAACAAAACAAAAACAAGAAAGGAAGCTAGCTTCGGCAAGCCGAAGCTTATATACCCTTGCAGTCATCAAATATGTCGAACAAGATACATAAAGGCTAAACAGCATCGAAGCTATAACGATTTTTCTATTAAGGCAGGTTCTCACCTTGTAGGGCCGAAAAATTGACATTTTTTAAAAAATTGTTTTGAGATAACGGTTAAAGATAAAAATTTGAAATTTGTAACTTTATTTGAAAACATATTTATTTTGCGAACAAAAATTTCAAAATTGAAAAATCAAAAAAGGGGCGGGAGGGGGCGTTCCTCAGTTGCAACATTTCGGCAAAAAGGTGTCCCGCTTACGGAAGTGATTCAGCCAAAACGGGTAATCGGAAACACAAAAACCGAACAGATTCTTAAAGTGTACAGTTCTGTGCATAAAATGAACTAGGATCAGAAAAAAAAAGAAAATTGCAAAAGTTATTAGCTTTTGAAAAAAATTTCGATTTTTGCGCTTTTTTTCTCACTAATTATTTTCTCAATTAAACAGTTTTTAATATTTTTGGATAATCCTAGTTCACAATTAGGAACATTTAAAAAAAAATTGAAGACGATTAGTTAACCCCAACACCTTCAATTACTTCCGTAAGGTCCGAAAACGTGGTTCCCAGATAAACGCGCTTAAAGTTTTGGCTTCCAATGGCCGGTGTTCGACATGTGCTCCATGTAAGGGCCTGTAACTTTTGTAATATTTCAAATTTGGATCTGAAATTTTTGAGAACATTTTCGGAACATATATTTATACGACAAGCCAAAAAAAATTAATATTTTTTTTTGCCACAAGGTGAGAACCTGCCTTAATTTTTCATATTTTCGACTATTGTTCATATGATGGCTATATGATATAGTCGTCCGATTTTGATGAAATTTAATGTGTAATTCAAGAGTCGTTAGAGAACTTTAAATTCCAAAAATCATGATTGTCTAATGAAAAACAGCGATATTATAATTTTATTTCCGTTATTTCTATATAGATTTTTCGATCTTTCCTATGGCAGCTATATGATAACGTTGTCATATTTTAATGACATTTTTTCTCGATTCAAGGGTTATTAAAAATTCCATATTTTAAAAATCATGCTCGTGGGATTGAAAACAACGATGTAAATATTTTTTTTCCATTATTTATGTATATATTTTTCGATATTTCGTATGGCAGCTATATGATAGAGTTATCCGATTTTGCTAAAATTTAATCCGAAATTCAATAGTAGTTAGAAAACGACATATGGAATAAATCAAGTCGATCTGATCGAAAACAACTGTCTGAGAACTTTTTATTTCATTCTTTCGTATGGGATCTATGCGATATAGACGGCCGATCTGGCCCGTTCCGACTTATATACTGCGTGCAATAACTACACAACTTTTGGGAAAGCTTCAGCAAGATAACTTTAAAATTGAGAGACTAGTTTACACAGAAACAGACAGGAGGACAGACGGAAAGACAGACAGACGGTCAAACGTACAGACGTATTTGGATTCTGATCGTGATGCTGATGGGGTCTGAGATGTCTCCTTCACTGCCTGGCAAACTTCTGACTGAAATTATAACACCCTTTGCTCTGCAAGGGTATAACAAATATTCGAAATAGCATGAGCGTTGAAACGTTAAACGCTATACTTAGTATAAGGTCCATATTGAAATTTATTAAGATTTTGAAATTAGAAATTAATTTACTTAAAATTTTAGAAAGGGGCTGCGTCGACACAATAAGTGCTGTTTTAACTACAATCTACCACTCATCTGCCTAACTACAATTGAACAAAAGAATTTTTATCCAAGCGATGATGTCGGTAATACTGACGATATCTCAAATATACTATAATTCTTGATTTTTGTACATTAATGTGCTGAACTGAGGGTTTATTAATGAAAAACATGCAGCTTTATATATACATACATACTGCTTTACAAAAATCAGCTTTTTTCTTAGCTTTTTTTCTCTGGTATTCCGATTTTTTTAGCTTTTTTTTTCGTTGATCCAGCTTTTTTTTGCTCAGAAAAAAATGACACCACTGGTTTGAAGCTCTTCACACAAATTAATTAATAATTTAGCCCTTGATCCCGATAAACTTTCCAATTTCACTGCACAACGATGGTTTTGTTCTGGTGCAGAGGTGGCCGAAAGTACGCCACTCTCCAGAAGTCCTGTCGTTGAAGAGGAGACGAGATCACTGAATTGGTCGAGAGAGACTGGCATAGTAGCAGCCGTAGCATAGGCCAAAAGCTGAGCATGGCTAAAAGCATTAAAATGGCTAATAACGGTTCGATGACCGATGGGAGGTTCTTTTGCATCCACTGCATAGTCCGGACATCGCACCAAATGATTACAACCTGTTTCTATTCTCAACCAAAGAGCTTGGTAGTCGGAAGTTGGCTTGTAAAAATTGGATCCCTAAGCTCGAACAAAACTGCGCCATTTGACTTAAATTGCATGATTGTAACCAACTTTCTAAAAATTAAAAAAAGGAATTGAAATATCGCAGACTTTTTTGACACCCTTATATCTCGAACAAAATGCACAAAAGGTTAACAACATCGGAGTCATCCGATTTTCATGAAATTTAATTTCAAATTTAAGGGTCCTAGGAAAACACCATCTGGAAAAAAGCCTGTCAATATGATAAAAAACCAAGTTAGAATAATTTGTTTCCTCTTTATTTTTTTATCTCTCTTATGGGAGCTATCCAATATAGTCCTCCAATCCGGGTCGTCCTTTATTCACTGCGTTGCAAACTTCTGACTGAAATTATAATACCTGCAAGGGTATAAATACCTTCGTATTGTAAATCTGGAATGACTACAAGGTTTTATGAGCAACTTCGAAACCGGTTTAAACAGAACAGGCGACATAACACTGAAAATCCCATAAGTCTAGTACATAGTATTGGACGACATAATTGCTGCATCAACTTTCAGTTTTGACGAGTCATAGATTGAAGAATCCTAATAAAAGTATAAAGAAAACTTTTGAGACACCTCAGACCCCATAAAGTATATGGGTGATTCCATATCAGATTTACAGTCGATATTGGGAAATTCGATGAGATATTTTTTTTCATGCTCTTTATCGAAAATAAATCGACACGTATTTTTTTATATGGCTCAGAAAATTTTTTGACAAAGTTATGAATTTTTGATAAACTGCCTTTTTCTGATGACAGTCGCGCTTTACAGCCCCAATAACTCGAAAACCGTTCGTCGCAGGAAAAAAATCTATAGGAAGTAAAAATTTCATCCTTCCTTCTTCTTTGCAAAACTTTCGTGAAAAAATTTTTTTTAAACAATTTTTCACCACAAAAAGTTCAAATGTTTATAACAAATTAATTTTTCTCCAACTTGGACCATTTTGATTTTTTTTTTCACAGTAAATCCTTCAAATTCTTCTGATGAACATACTAAAATTTCAGAATGGTATCAAAATTAGTTTTTGAGTTATAGAATTTTAAAGATTATCATGCACGGTCCGCGCGCTCGGTCTCAGGGCGTGCGCCGACCAACGACTCTAACGAGCGTCAATTCGCTTGCGCGCGCATAGTAAAGGTCAATGAAATGAATTTTTAATGCTATTTAATTCTATAACTCAAAAACTAATTTTGATACCATTCTGAAATTTTAGTATGTTCATCAGAAGAATTTGAAGGATTTACTGTGAAAAAAAAAAAATCAAAATGGTCCAAGTTGGAGAAAAATTAATTTGTTATAAACATTTGAACTTTTTGTGGTGAAAAATTGTTTAAAAAAAATTTTTTCACGAAAGTTTTGCAAAGAAGAAGGAAGGATGAAATTTTTACTTCCTATAGATTTTTTCCTGCGACGTACGGTTTTCGAGTTATTGGGGCTGTAAAGCGCGACTGTCATCAGAAAAAAGGCAGTTTATCAAAATTCATAACTTTGTCAAAAAAATTTTCTGAGCCATATAAAAAATACGTGTCGATTTATTTTCGATAAAGAGCATGAAAAAAATATCTCATCGAATTTCCCAATATCGACTGTAAATCTGATATGGAATCACCCATATATAGTATACTTGATCAGCATCAGGAACTGTGGCAAACTAGATGTGTACATATGTCCGTCTGTCTTTATCTATGTATAATAGTCTCTCGATTTTAAATATATCTTACTATAACTTTACCAAAAGTTGTGTAGTTATTGCGCGCAGTATATGTATAAGTGGGAAAGGTGCCGAAGCGGGCGACTATACCGCATAGCATCCACAGGATATGTTTTTAATCATATCGACTTGATTTTTTCCAAATTGCGCTTTTGCAGAATTATTGGATTATAGAGTTTTCTAACGACTGTTGAATTTCAAATTAAATTTAATGACGAGGGTATATGAGCTCCCTTTCTTATCATTTGTTAAGAATGAAAGTAGAGTGTAAATATATAGATGGGGACTTTTCACCTTACTCTTTATTCGGGCCATTTCTTGCGTTTTGAATGACAATGAAAATTATTATGTTGTAATTCAAAATACTTGGCAAACTAAATCTTGTACTAATATACCTCTGATTATGGTTCAAATAATTATACTAATCCCATCGCTTATGACAATAAAATTACTCCCCATTGGGCGTAAAAGTGGGCGAGACAAATTAAAAACAAGAAAGGAAGCTGACTGAAATTATAAATCAAAAATTTGAAACACCTCAGACCCCACAAAGTTTAAATACTCTTAATCAGCATCACGATCTGAATCAAAATACGTCTGAACGTCTGTCCGTCTGTCTGTTTCTATGTAAACTAGTCTCTCAGTTTTAAAGCTATCTTGCTGAAACTTTCCCAAAAGTTGTGTGGTTATTGCACGCAGTATATAAGTCGAAACGGACCGGAACGGCGTTGGTTTTAATCCCACGAGCATGGTTTTCAAAATATGGAGTTTTTTAATAACGCTTGAATCGGGAAAAAAAATTTCATTAAAATCCGACAACGTTATCATATAGCTGCCATAGGAAAGATCAAAAAATCTATATAGAAATAACGGAGATAATATGATAACATCCATGTTTCACATCAGACAAGTATAATTTAATGGAATATATAGTTTTCTAGTCGAGCCGAAGCTAACTTCCTTTCTTGTTAAATATGGCTCACAGTGCCTAATGAAATATGTAGAGCCTCTACTAAATCTTTCTCATTCAATCGACGATTTTTAAAAACCATATCCTGTATTAAGGCTTGTGGCAATACCCTCTTTTATTGAACGACAAAATTTTTTAAACAACCTAATACAAGATTCTAAAGGTAGAAACGATTTGGTATAAGCTCAGTTTGACGGAACATATCTGCAAAAATTCAGATTTCTATAAATGACCTACAATTTTGTTCTCTTGCTGACTTTGGAGGCTTATATGTAGATACATATATGCTTGTAAATACTTTAATAAGCGCAGAAGCTGTATGTAGAATTTTGGTATTCCCCATACATGATAGGTTCCCGGCTATTGAAGTTTTGAAAGTTAATTTGTGAATTTTTGTAGGTGGTATTTCGGTCCTAAAATTCAAAATAATTTACTTAAGGGGGGTTCTTTTGGATTTTTCCGAAAATTAAGCAAACTTTGAGAATGGATTGCGGGAAATGAAAAGACATACGAACTTATGCTTTTGAACTTTTGATTCGTTGTTTATTAACGATTAAAAAAAATATTCAATACTCAGGAAATTCAAAATGGCGGCTTCAAAATGGCGGATCTCGTCGACCTCTATTTTTCTGCTTTGTCTAGTGTCGGGCCGACATATAATTTATTAAAATTGATGGAATTTCCTTTGCCTTATACCTAACTACAATCAATTTTGGTAAAAATAAACCCATTTCATGGACGTTTAAAAAAAAATTTACTTCGATCTCTTTTAAAAATTATAAATAAACAATTTTTTTATGCCAATTTTAAGTATAAGGCATACAAAAAGTATATATGTACTTTCAAACATTTTTTGAATGAAGGAAATCGGATCAATAGAACGAGCCCTGTGCGCGAGAAGAGGTTTGAAAACATGGTTCCGAGAAAAACGTGTTTAAAGTTTTTAGAGCGTACCACAGCGCGCGTGACATGGGTATGTTTGACACGCTGTAGCTCAAGAAATACGCGTCGTATCGAAATATCCCTTGGCACGTATATTCTACACATATGTAACTTTCATTTTATTCAAAAAAAAATCGATTTTTTCAAAAAAATCCAAAAGAACCTCCCCTTAACCAATAATACGATCAATTGAAGAAAAAATGAATGTCAATACAACTGCTTGAATTTTAGCACATAACTTCCTTTACAGGTTGTTTTCCCTTTAAGTTGAGAAACGGTTAAAAATTCTTTCGTGAAATATATTCGCTTATATTTTTAATATCTCGAGCAATATTAATATTAATGAAATTGAATTGGAAATTCCAGAAATTCAATCAACGTTAAAAAAGTAGATATTCAAAATTTCATGTTTGTATAATAAAAACAACAACGTTCCCATTTAATACCCTTGCATAGGGTAATATTATTTAAAACACATGTTCGCAACGCGTTATGGAGATATCTCAAACCCCATGAAGCCATTATAACACCCTGTGCAGATACTAAAGATTTCTTGTCTAGTCGTTTTTTACATTTATATTGAAAACTATGGTATTCTAAAAATATTTAAATTACAAGTAATTTCTACTTACGCACATCATATATATACTGCCTCCTAATAAGGCACAATATTTGACAGCACGTTTTTACGGATTGGTTTGTATGCAGGCACATATTTACCAAACGGTAGAAGGAAACGTGTGTGAGCAAACAGCATTTGCACAATGTAAATAGAAAACTCACAATAATATTTGTATTTATTTAAGCCTTCAATTCCTCAAGTGGCTGGTAAATAAAAAATACGTTTTTCATTATAATACTCTGATCTTTTGTACTGTTTTATTTTTCATTTGGGTTGCTCTTAAGAAAAGACAAATAAAGTTTAAAATAAAAACACCGTAGATCAAACGTGTGTTGTCGGTCCATCGAAAACCGTTACAATGCACATTTTTTAACCTTTTGTTTAACAGTTTTAGAGTAAAATTTTTGTATTCTTGAATTATTTGCTTTGAACAAAGTTTTCAATTAAAAGAAAGAATGATACGCATATGTACGTTCAGTGAGCTGAAGCTTGCAAGTACATATCGACGCATTTCCGCGACTCTATCGTATGTAGAAAAATCAAATTTTACAAGAGAAGCTTTTTCTTTATTTTTGTATTTCCGTATTTTTGTGCGATTGCAGTATTTCCATGCAAATTTGTATGGACATACGATAATTTCGCGCGCACATTGTAACATACGATAAAATTGAAACTTAATTTTGATCGGAACTATAGGGCTTTCAGTTATAATATTTCACAGGGTAGTGAGACATTAGGTGCCTAACCATTTTGCATTAAAATCTCAATTTCGAAAAAAAGCGACATACGATACAGTCGCGGAAATGCGTCGATATGTATATACCAAACCAGTTAAAACTTCAGTCTATAAAAATGTATGACGTATAGTACTTATTTAATTATGTAAACTTTTTAAACGCTTTAATTTTTAAATGGCAACTTTATTTTTATACCCTTGCAGAGGGTGTTATAATTTCAGTCAGAAGAATGTAATGAAGAAGACACCTCAGACCCCATAAGGTATATATATTCTTGATCAGCATCACGATGAGAATCCAAATATTTATGTACATCTGTCTGTCTGTCCGTCTGTCTGTCTGTCTGTCCGTCTATCCGTTTCTCTTCAAACTAGTCTCTCAGTTTTAAAGCCATCTTGCTAAAACTTTCCCAAAAGTTTTGTAGTTATTGCACGCAGTATATAAGTCGGAACGGGCCGGATCGGCCGACTATATCGGATAGCTCCAATACGAGAGAACGAAATAAAAAATTCTTAGGCAGCTGTTTTTGATCGGATCGACTTGAGTTCTTCCAGATGGCATTTTCTAACTGCTATTGAATTTCGGATTAAATTTTATCAAAATCAGATTACTCTATCATATAGCTCCCATAGGAGAGATCAAAATATATATGTATATATGTATAAATAATGGAAAAAAAAATTATGACATCGTTGTTTTTAATCCCATGAGCATGATTTTTGGAACATCAAGTTTTTAAATAGTCTTAAATCGAGAAAAAAATTTCATAAAAATCAGAGTACCTACTATATCATAGAGTTGCCATAGGAAAGATCGAAAAATCTATATAGAAATAACGGAAATAAAATGATTACCTCGTTGTTTTTCATCAGACAATCATGATTTTTGGAATATAGAGTTTTCTATTGAGTCTTGAGTTTCAAATTAAGGGGTTATATCCAGTTGCGAGGCCAAAAAAATGAGCTTTTTTGAAAATTATTTTTGGAGAGGCTATTTATTGTATGAATACGTAATATATATGAAAAGATAGGTCATTATTTCTAGTCTTAGAATATATTTAAAAAAAAAAAATATTTTGGACTCCGTCGGTCCTGTAGAGGATCTCCCGAGGGTCCACTTCAAAAAAAGGTTTTGCGGTGAGCAAAATATCTCCGGTCCAAATGATCAGAAATACAAAAAACCGGAAGGATTACGTAAAGAATAGACAAATACTGGTAATGAGACTTGGGATTTTCAAAATTTTGATTTTTGACAAAATGGCGGCTTCCCAAACATAAAACTTCGTTTTTGGCACAAAAATTTCAACTTTGAAGTGTCTAAAAAAATCGAAGTTTTTGTCGGAGCCAAAATTCCAAGTTTCATTACCTGAAAAAATATCTAAGAAGAGAATGTGAAAGTTTCAAGTCAATCGGACAAGCCGTCTCTGAGAAATTTTGCTCACCGACATTGAAGACATAGTTTCGAGAAAAACGCATTTAAAGTTTTGGCTACTAGTTGAACTACATGGGAGACGTCTTTACAAATACACTGATTACTCCAATACTATTTACCGGAATACTTTGAAATTTTCAGATAATCTTCTTAGATATATATACATTCAAAATAGGCAAAAAAAAAAATTTCGATTTTTTCAAAATCGCAACTGGATATAACCCCTTAAATTTCATCAAAATCGGACGACTATATCATATAGCTGTCATATGAACAATGTGGAAAATGAATAGAAGAATCGTCATAGCTTCGATGTTGTTTAGCCTTTATGTATTTTGTTCGACATATTTAATGACTGCAACGGTTTTTCCTAGCTTTTCGCGATCTCATCGTAAAAACAAACAGACTAAACGACATTTGCGGCGTGCTCATGAGTGGAATCCAAATATATTATCTAAAATGTTGTAACGTGGGGAAAACAGAATATTATGCGTAAAAGTGGGTCTATAATCTACGATTATACGGACGAATACACAGGCACTATTCGTCTGTTGAATATTATACAGAATATATGTATATATTTATATACTCTACTTAAAGTTGGCATAACTGTTAATAATTAAAATACTTTTGTTTACCATAGGTATATGAACTAGAAAGGAGATTTAAGCAGCAGAGGTATCTCTCCGCACCGGAAAGAGAACACTTGGCCAGTCTTATTCATCTAACCCCAACACAAGTAAGTATTTAAGTTATTTTACTTAAAGACTAAATGATTAAACTGCAGGTGGGACCTACAAACCTCGTTTAATGTTGAATTTCAGCGAAATAAAATTTAAAATTTGTAAAATAATTGACTTAAAACAAATTTTTGTTTGTTCTTTCAAAAGAAAATAAAAATAATTAAAATAAAAACTTGCTTTATCATAATGACTTATAGTTCATCTATATATAAAAATGTGTACTCTCTTAAGATAGGTTCTCACCTTGTGGGAAAAAAAAATCGATTTTTTGCTTGTTATATGTTCCAAAAATGTGCTTCAGAAATTTCATATCAAAGTTTTTTTTCTAATATACGAACTACAGTCAGCCAAAAATATTGAAAATTGGTTATTTAAAAAAGAATGAGTGAAAAAAAAACGCGAAAATCGTAATTTTTTCAAAAGCTCATAACTTATACAATTTTGTTTTTTTTTCCATGATCGTAGTTCATTCAATACAAAATATGGTACACGTTAGGAATCTTTTCGGTTTTTATACCCTTGCAGAGCAAAGGGTATTATAATTTTGGCCAGAAGTTTGCAACGCAGTGAAGGAGACACCTCAGACCCCATAAAGTATATATATTCTTGATCAGCATCACGATCAGAATCCAAATACGTATGTAAGTCTGTCTGTCCGTCTGTCTGTCTGTCTGTCTGTCTGTCTGTCTGTCTGTCTGTCTGTCTGTCTGTCTGTCTGTCTGTCTGTCTGTCTGTCTGTCTGTCTGTCCGTTTCTCTTTAAACTAGTCTCTCAGTTTTAAAGCTATCTTGCTGAAACTTTACCAAAAGGTGTGTAGTTATTGCACGCAGTATATAAGTCGGAACGAGCCGGATCGGCCGACTATATCGGATAGCTATAATACAAGAGAACGAAATAAAAAATTCTCAGGCAGCTGTTTTTAATCGGATCGACTTGATTTCTTCCAGATGACATTTTCTAACTGCTATTGAATTTTGGATTAAATTTAATCAAAGTCAGATAACTCAATCATATAGCTGCCATAGGAAAGATCGAAAAATATATATAGAAATAATGGGAAAAAAATTATAACATCGTTGTTTTTAAACCCACGATCATAATTTTCAAAATATTAGTTTTATAATAACCCTTGAATCAAGAAAAAAATTTCATTGAAATCTGAGAACCTAATCATATAGCTGCCATAGAAAAGATAAAAAAATCTATATAGAAATAACGGAAATAAAATTATAACATCGTTGTTTTTCATCAGACAAGCACCATTTTATGAATATAGAGTTTTCTAACAACTCTTAAATTACGAATTAAATTTGATCAAAATCGGATAACTCTATCATATAGTTGCCATAGGAGAGATCGAAAAATATATATAAAATTAATGGAAATAAATTGATAACATCGTTGTTTTTTATCCCACGAGTATGATTTTTTGAATATCAAGTTTTTTAACAACCTTTATATTGAGAAAAAGTTTCATAAAAATCGGACAACTATATCTTATAGCTGCCATAGGAAAGATTAAAAAATCTATATAGAAATAACGGAAATAAAATGATAACATCTTTGTTTTTAATCAGACAAGCATAATTTTTGGAATACAGAGTTTCTAACGACTCTTAAATTACGAATTTAATTTGATCAAAATCGGACTACTATATCATATAGCTCCCATATGATCTAAAGTCGAAAATATGGAAAATGAATATCGTCTTAGCTTCGATGTTGTTTAGCCTTTATGTATTATGTAGGTACTATAAAATAAGTAACTATTAGTACTCCTTGTTGCTTCGGCTTGCCGATTATAAGCGATTATATACATAGGTACATATATTATTAAGCTTCGGCAGTTTGATGTTTTTTTAATTTTTGTATACTTAGTCATCAGTGCTGAGCCTTTAATAATTTTAAATTAAAGACGTTAATATACAAATCTGTAAGTGCTGTGATAACCGTCAGGCAGGTATTGCGGACTTCAATCCATTTTAAAGATGAATACATACATACACATGTATAGTTTTATTAAAATGCCTTACTACAGCTATGTTAACACAATGCTTATGCCCTTTAATAGTAAAGAGCATGATCAAACAATGACTACTTTTCAATACAATTTAGGGGTGTGTTTAATATGTATTATACTTTCCATTGTTCCCTAATGCACTTTTATCTTTCAAAAACAGAGACTGTTGTGAATACATACATTTTGTTTGCTTTATTCGGGGGTATTCATCATCTCTTTATGTGGGTATTCAAAAAAATTTCGAAAAAATACTTTAGAAGGGTGACAACACAATTCAAATGTTTTTATTGTTATAACACGTCGCATCCTCAACCTTTTGTGCAGACCGCAAACGTAATTGCTTAACCTAATGACAATTATGTGTTAAGTGGTAGGCTTTGTAAGTATCACACCCTTATTATTATAAATTGTACTTGCAACTAGCAGTTAAAATTCTATGGTAATGATTGTACCTTAAGCGTCGTTTATGTTTCTTTGGGACTCCAAATTTAGAAAATAACTAATTTTTGGGTATTTACTTTTTATATAACCCTATTTTTTTCTTATAACCTTATTATTAACAATTTTATAGTGAACATTAAATCTTGATGCAGTATTTACGTTAAGTCCTAGTACTAAAAAAACAAGTTCGTTATTAGACAAATTTCCTTGGTGGTGTTAAGTTTCAGAATTCACCGAAGTCCATGTATTGTCAATCAGCTGAGTTTGTTAATAATCATTACAAAAAAATTTGATATGGAAGAGTCCTGAATCTTACGGGATTTAAAACAAACCTGTTGTGAAGGATATTATATTGTGCTGACTGACTTGAAACCCAGGCGAAGAAATCTATTAAACAATTTGAAAATTAAAATGTTGAGAGGGCTGAAGGATTAGTCAACTTTGTCAGTTTTAAAGCTAATTGCTTACACAAAAGTCTTGTAGCTTTTGCAATTAGTATATTTGCTGAAACGGACTTGATCGTGCGACTATAAAAAGTACATATATGTATGTAGAATTATTTGGAATTTCCACAATATTGGAAAATTTTATGTGAGATCGGAGAAATGATGGACAAAAGCCACTAAACTATTACAAGCATTGGGCAGCGTTTTATTTATTAATTTTTTTTTTAATTTCCCGGTCCGATTATGAAGAGTCCTTATGTTTACCACGTATATTTGTATTAGTAAACGAATTAAGTTTCATGAATAATATCTGCAACACAAGAGATAAAAATCTTTATAAAACACATGTGTCAAAAATTATAACATCATGGTCATCACATCACATCATCACACAAGCATGATTTATGGAATATCGAGTTACATACATACATACATACATATATTATCATAAAAAAGTTTGTTCTTTGTTTAACCATAGTAATTGATATTTCAATATGCATGCTTGTTTAATAAAAAAACAATGACGTCATAAATTTTCTTTTATTATTTTATTTAGATTTTTCGATTATATCCAACTATGTATTAGGTTGTTTTGTAGTGAGTCATTACATAATAATACATTACATAATGACATACCGGTTTCTTTATTTATTTTTTGACGACGATTTTAACATAGTTAGCATTGTCCGATTTAAGTGCTTTATGTACCGCTGTCTTCGATGATTTTCTGCCATTCTGATGGTAACTTGCATATGCCTCTCATAAAGAAGTCCTTGTCCCTACTGGCAAAGAACTTGGCGTTTCGATTTCGTCAATCCTCCCTTGAACTCAATTTGTGACCATCGAAAAAATTTTGCATGGCCAAAAACAGATGGTAATCGCTTGAGGCAATGTCCGGACTATAAGGTGGATGCATTAACACTTCCCAGCCAAGCACCCGTAGCTTGTGACGCTTCACTAAAGATGTATGGGGCCTGGTGTTGTCATGATGGAACACAACGCCCTTACGATTCACCATGGCTGGCCGCTTCTGTTCAAGTGCAATCTTCAATCGCTCCAGTTGTTCAGAGAAGAGGTCAGAATAGATGGCTTGGCCATAGGGCAAAATTTCATAATGGATAATTCCTCTGATATCCCACCATACACTCAGCAACACCTTCTGAGCCGTCAGTCCTGGCTTTGCCACCGTTTGAGACGACTCACCGTGCTTCGACCAGGATCTTTTACGCTTTATGCTGTCATATGTGATCCGTTTTTGATCACCAGTGACTAACCGATCCAGAAATGAGTCGAGTTTATTTCGGTGCAACAAAGATTCGCAGATTGATAAACGGTCGAAAAGGGTTTTTTGGGATAACTCATGAGGCACCCATACATCGAGCTTTTTTGTTACATTTTTCGTCTTTAAATGCCTATGGACGGTTTCCGTGCTTAGTTGCAGCTCCTCTGCGATGGTTCTAATAGTCACATGACGATCTCGATCCACTATTTCCATGATTTTATTCGTATTCGGAAGGCTTGGGTGTTTCGGTATCAAAATTGCCACTTCGGAATCGCCTAAACCACTGTTCGGCTGTTTGAATCGAAAGTTTGTTATCTGCTAAGACAGCAATAATCTGTCTGCGAGTATCCGCAGCAGTTTTTTCCTGTGCGAAATAAAATTTCAAAATTTCCCGAATTTCTGCGTTTGTAAACTCCATTTCAATCGATTGTAATTTTTTAACGTGGAAGCTCATGTAAACAATAAACTATATGTCATTTTAAAGGTGATGCCAATACCTTTCAAACGATTTACAGCATTTCCAGATACGATTATATTTGACTTTACAAGCGAAGCGCGAAATTTAAATGTAAAAACCGGTATGTCATTACCACACAACCTAATATTTATTATAGTCATCCAATTTTTATGAAATTGAAGTCGAAAATAATGAATTCTTCAAAACTATCTGAGGTGGCTTCTTAGTATAAGAAACAACGGCGTAATTTTTCCCCCGTTATTTTTTGATCTAGTCGCCCCACCCGGCCTATTCCGACTTTTGCGTGCAGTAACTACAAAATTGTTCATAAAGTTTAATCGAGATAGCTTTAAAACTGAGGGACGAGTTTATATAATAACAATACACCCTTGCAGTGTGATAAGAAAACAAAGAGGTAATCATTTTATTTTCGTTATTTCTATATAGATTTTTCGATATAGCAGCTATATGATATAATACTCCGATTTTTATGAAATTTTTTTCTCGATTCAACAGTGGTTAAAAAACTTGATGTTCTTAAAATCATGCTCATGGAATCAAAAACAACGACGCTATATTTTTTTTCCATTTTTATATTTTTTGATCTTATTCGATTTTGATAAAATTTAATTTAAAATTCAATAGAAGATAAAAAACACCATCTGAAAGAAATCAAGTCGGTATGACCAAAACGGCGTATCCGATATAGCCGCCCGATCGGGCCCTTTCCGACTTATATACTGCGTGCAATAACTACACAACTTTTGGGAAAGTTTCAGCAAGATAGCTTGAAAACTGAGAGATTAGTTTGCGTAGAAACAGACAGGAGGACAGAGGCCAGTCGTACAGACGTATTTCGATTCAGAACGTGATGCTGATCAAGAAGATATATACTTTATCTCCTTCAGGGTGCTAAAAAACTCTAAGTTTTTCTAAGCATATAATTTACTTCGTAACTATATACCTTTTTTCATACATAAATAGCTTTTAATATTTTCTTTTTAATTTTAGGTGAAGATATGGTTCCAAAATCACAGATATAAATGTAAACGGCAAGCGAAAGAAAAGGCAATGGCTGAACAAAATCAACATAATCAGGTAAATGGGTATTAGGAGAGTTTAGTTTTTTTTTGTGTTTGAATTCCCCACCAACAGGTATTTGTTGTAGATAAGTATGTATATCAAAAAATGTATGATTTACGCAACAAATTTCTGTACTACTTTTATACCCTTGCAGAGGGTATTATATATAATTTCAGACAGAAGTTTACAACGCAGTGAAAGAGACACCTGACCCCGTAAAGTATATATATTTTTTATCAGCATCACGGTTTGAATCGATATATGTACGTCTGTACGTCTGTCCGCTTGTCCTCCTGTCTGTTTCTATGTTACCTTTGCCAAAAGTTGTGTAGTTATTGCACTTAATATATAAGACGAAACAGGCCGGATCGGGCGATTTCAACGGATGGCTCCCTTAGGATAGAATGAAAAAAAAATTATCTCGTCGTTGTTTTGTATCATATCGACTTGATTTCTTCCAGATTTTGTTTTCTAACTACTTTTGAATTTCGAATTAAATTTTCTTAAAATCGGATAATTTATATTATATAGCAAACATAGCAATATCAATATGTACCTATATTCAGTAGAATCCTGTTATAACGACTCCGCTTATAATGTCCGTCCGGGTTGTGCAACGAAAACTCGATGGTTTGGTTGGTTCCCATACAAACTTATATTAAAGGGCCTCCGTTTAGAGCGTTTCCGCTTTAAGCGACAAACCGTTTATACGAACGAAATTTTTCAAGAAAATTTAAAAATTTAACCGGATATTGCGTCGTGCAGAAAAAAAATACATTGCAATAGTGCCAAATGTAAACATCAAAACAAGCTGTTAAAAATGTATGTATTTATTAGTGATCGGCACCTTTGCTTGTGTGCGTAGCAGTGACACAAAGGATCTTACACTGTCACTACTCTCTGTTAGTTTTAGCTGTCGCCTACGCTGCTGCGAGAGAGAGAGTCGAAGTGCAATGCCGACGTCACACTGCGTGTGCAGACCTCAGAGCCTATTCCATGAGATGTCCCGTTATATTTCTAGTTTTTTTCTGTTTTTTTCCGAATAAAACTGAAAGCGTAAATTCGGCAAATGCAACATATGCAATAATAAGCTCACTCAGTTTTTAGTATTATGAAAAACCCATGCTTTTGAATAAAATTTTTAAAATGTTTCGTTTTAATTAAAAAAACAATTTGATTTATTTTAAAAACCTATTACGAAGACGGCAACCATAAATAAACAAAAAAATATGTTTATTTGTTCCTTTTGCTTAGTTCGTCTTCCGGTTATAACGACGAAAAATCGTTGGTCCCTTGAAAGTCGCTATAACCGGATTCTACTGTATATATAAATAATGGAAAAAATATGATAACGTCGTTGTTTTTTATCCCACAAGCATGATTTTTAAAAAATTGGCCTAACTACCCTTGAACCGAGAAAAAAAATTAATAAGAATCGGAGAACTATATCATATAGCAGCCATAGGAATAATGGATATAAAATTAACGGAAAATAACGGATAACATCGTTGTTTTTCATTAGATAAGTTCAACTTTTGGAATCTAGAGTTTTCTAATGACTCTCGATTTGAATTCAGAATCTGAATTTCAGATTCATTAAAATCGGAGGACTGTATCATATAGCCGTCATATGAACTGTCGTCGAAAATATAGAAAGTTAATAGAAACATCTACATAAGTTCGTTGTTGTTTAGCCACTATTATATTTTCGATATATTTCGACATTTTTGATGACTGCAAGGGTATATATGCTTCGGCTCTCCGAAGCTAGCTTCCTTTCTTATTTTAGTCTAAGCTCGTTTTATTTAGGACCAACCTAACTGATGTAAAAAAAGTGTTATAAAAGTTCCGCGTTATAACTTTGAACAAAAGGAAAACACGTCTTGTTGGGTAAGATTGTAAGGACCTTTTTCTCAGACCTAGATTTATGTTAGTTCAGCCAGGGTTCTCTACAGATAAATTTGTAGAAAAAAAATTGTCGGCGAATATGAACGGAGTTGCCGTGTGACTTGGTAATAAAAAGAAATCGGAGTACCCGCAGTGCACTGTACGAAGTGTACTAAGGTGGGGCGGGGCATTTATCTCAAAAACGGAATCTTCGGACGGCGTGACCGTTTCTTCTGCATCGGCGTCTCTGTGTTACCGATTAAAAACTGTGCTCCTTGTGGGCAGCTGGGTATCCACGTTGTACTCAGAAAACAGCTCTGGCGCAACGCGGTTCCCGGCCGACAGAAATCTTGTTTATTCATCCTCACACCCCCTCTTTACTTTCTGGATATTATTTTTATTTTCCTTTAATTCAAACTGCATTGTTCTCTAAGCGAGATGATCATGTTTAGACTGGCGGTGTGCTTTTTAATTAAAACTGTGTTGGCGACGCGCTTTTTCTTGAGGATCCTGCTGAGTCGGTGGTCTGGTCGTCGCGCTGGTGGTACTCGTTTAGGTCTCCAACTCCCGCCGTCTGTCTTTTCCGGGTCTCCTTTTGGAGTCGCATTTTGGAGTCTGATGATATGCGGTGAAAGAAACTATATCAAGCTTTGCGTTGATCCCCTTACTAGTCTTCGACAGGTGATGTAGTCGGACTAACACCTGTAACCCGAGTTGCGGTCGTCGTAGGTTATAATGTCTATCCTGTTACTGGGAAGCCATCTGGTTGGTCTCCAGGGCGGCGCGGAAAACTTTCCCATCGATTTTCTGTGTGAAGACTGCTCCAAGCCCTTTATCGCTGGCATCCGTCTGCAGTTCGAACTTGTACTCGAAGCTTGGGCAAGCCAATACAGGCACAGCTGTAAGGCGTGCCTTGGGGTCTTCGAATGCTTGCTATTGGGGTTCCTCCCAGTGCCACTTAACTCCCTTCCTTAGGAATACTCTGAAAAAGCTTGGACTTGCTTTGATTCAGTCGTCATTTTGCTTCACGCAGCCGTCGGAATACTTCCCGGAGGTTCTTGGCATGATCTTCCCACGTCGCAGCGATGACGATGATGTCATCCAAGTAGGCGAAGGCGTGCGGTTCCATGTCTGGTCCAATGACAATGTCAAGAGCGCGCTGAAACATCACTGGCGCAGATTGGAGTCCAAAAGGACTGACTTTCCAGTGGAAAGATCCAGCGTAGAGATGAAACGTGCGTTTTGTAAGCGTTTCAGGATGTGATTGATGCGCGGGAGTGGCTACGTATCGGAAACAGAATATGCATTGAGCTGTTGATAATCGACGCACATCGGCATATTTCCGGTCCTCTTCCGTACTAGTACCAACGGGGCGTTGTGCGGACTTCTGGATGGCTCGATTCGGTCGTCTGGTAGTAATTCATCCACTTGTTTCGTCGATGATTCTCTGCATGTTCGGGTTCTTTGGTCGTATGCCCGCTGAGCTTGTCGAAAAGCTGTAACTCACCCTGTAGGAAGTGGGTGGTTTATTCATCGTTGGGTTCCTCGGATGCCTGTGATCGGGATGAGTCCTCCGATGCGATGGCCAGATGGCCGTGAAGGTAGTGGCTCCAAAGTGGGTTGCGCTTCCTTGCAATAGTGGCATCCGCGCGGGCTGGCAACTGGTATCTGCCGATTTCCCAGCATAGCTCTGGGGGTACTGGGGAGGTATCCAAATTGTTGCTATATGTTGCTCCTATAGTAGTCGTCCTCTTGCTTCCGCCTGTGGGGAGTCTACAAGAGGGGTTCTTGGTCCTGGCACTGATGACGTCCGATTGCTACTGTAGGTCGTCTGGGTTTCCTGCTTCCTTGGATTTCCATGGTGTGGCCTTCTGCAGGGTCGGGCTTGACTGCCGTCCTCGGAGTGGGTATGGGTGTCCTTTGGTTTTCCGTGGTATAACCTTTCAATCCTGGGGCATCTTTTTGTATGCCCGAAAAATGAAGCTTTGCGGCGGTGGGTGTCGCCTCCGCTACTGGGGCCGGTTCCGCCCTCCGAGCGGTAGGGGGAGCAAATTTCAGGCAGAATTGTCCGCAGATCAGGGCTGCGCGAATGCCACTGACCTCCTTTGGCCGAGGATCATTCCACCTAAGATTGTGGACAAGAACAACGGGGTCGTATGTAAAAATTCGTTGTTCAAACAAACTTCTGACTCCAAAATCTTGGTGACTTCCTTTCAAAATCCGTCATTCAGGGCTATCCTGTTTAGGACTTCCCTGGTCTTTTTCCCCGACTTCAACTGGTGGACGATCGCTTCACTGACTAAGCTCCGCTAGGCGCCTGTGTCGATGGTCACCGTAAAAGATTTTCCCTCGATGGTCACACTGGCGACGATTCTCTCCCCGGACATGCGGAGTGGGGAATCTAGTGGTGAGGGAGCGTTGTGTGGGTAGCCGCTCGCTTCCGGCGTGGGCGGGGATCCTGGCCGTTTCCCGGTGCGGGTGAAGTATCTCCCACTGTCCCACAGTGTAGTACCGGTGGGTTCTGACACTCCAGAACAAAGTGTCCTATTTCGTCGCAGCGTCTACAGGCTTTGGCGACGTCGATAAGTGGTTCGGTTCCCTGGGAGATCATCTGGTTGGATATCGCTGGTCTCTGCTGTCCTTGTCTCGGCTGGGTGAGGTGCATCCGTTGTTGGGGTCGAGGCCGAGTGAGGCTCTGTCTTCCAAAGTTCCAACTTGCGGTTATAGTCAGGGCCGCTTGCCGAGCGAGATTCCTATCCCAAGCGAATTCGAAAGCGGTGACCAATTGGGGCAAGAGCTCCAGAGAGGAAAACTCGTGCCGCCGTATGAACAGCCAGTGGCGGATTTACCGTATAGCCAACATAGGCAGCTGCCTAGGGCGGCAAATTTTTAGGGGCGGCAATTTTCGACTGTTAACACTACTACGACTGTTAAAGGTGAAAATTAGGCTGCAGTCTAGGGTGGCAAAATCAAAACTGCCTAGGGCGGCAAATTGTCTTAATCCGCCCCTGTGAACAGCTGATATTCCGGAAGCAGCTTCTCGTAGATCCTCTCCAGTTCCTGGGCGATCGAACCAAAGAATTCTCGCTGATAGGCTCGCTGGTAGGCTTTGGTGTGCGCAGCTGGTG